TAGCTAGATAGCTAGATAGCTAGATGGATAGATGGATAGATGGATAGATGGATAGATGGATAGATGGATAGATGGATAGATGGATAGATGGATAGATGATAGATAGGCAGAAGGAGACAGACAGACAGAGGCAGACAGAGAGAGGGAGAGAGAGAAAGTGATACAGAGAGAGAGAGAGAAGGAGGGAGACAGAAGGAGAGACAGCGAGACAGACAGACAGATAGATAGATAGATATATGATAGATAGATGGATAGATGGATGGATGGATAGATAGATAGATAAATAGATAGGCAGGCAGAAGGTGACAGACAGACAGAGGCAGACAGAGAGAGAGAGAGAAAGTGACACAGAGAGAGAGAGAGAGAGAGAGAGAGAGGGAGACAGAAGGAGAGACAGAGAGAGAGAGACAGGAGACAGAGAGAGAAGGGGAGAGAGAGACAGAAAGACAGACAGAAGGACAGAGAGAGAGACAGCTAGCTAGCTAGATAGATAGATAGATGATAGATAGATGATAGATAGATAGATAGACAGACAGACAGAAGGAGATAGAGACAGAGAGAGAGAGAGAGAAAGTGACACAGAGAGAGAGACAAGGAGAGAGAGAAGGAGAGAGAGAGTCAGAAGGAGAAAGAGAGAGAAGGGGAGAGAGAGACAGAGAGAGGGAGAGACAGAAGGGGAGAGAGAGAATGACAGAGAAAGAGAGAGACAGACAGAAAGAGGGAGAGAGAGAGACAGAGAAAGAAACAGAAGACAGAGACAGACAGAGAGAAAGAGAGAGAATATATATTTTTTTTACGATTTTTCTTGGCACGGCTGTTAAGTGAATCATGGCCGTTGTTAAACAAGCAAGCCGGTTGTTAAGTGAACCCCACTTTCCCTAGGGGCTTGGCTTGTCGGAAAATCGTCCAAGGGGAAATCACATGATACTCTCCCCCCCCCCGCCCCGTGGGACGTGGCGACTGTCGTAAGTACGAATCAGTTGCCAAATGTTTGAATCTTAATCCCAGGAATGCCGAAACGGTTGTCGGTGTGAAAACTGGACCTAAGTCGCTTTGTGTGTTTTCTTTAGCGATGTTGCAGCTTCAAACGGTCGCAGAACGAACTGTTGTAAGTGGGGGACGAGCTGTAGTTGGGTTAGTTTTGAGTTCAGGATGTCGTCCCAGTTTTAGTCTCCGAAGCCGCTGAAAGGATGAGGGGAAGGGGAGGTGTCAGCGAGGGAGTTTTCGGAAGGTGGTTACAGCAACCACAAAAACTCACAAAAAAGAATGCAGGGAATGACTCACAAATGATCAATAAATATTCCGAGAACTGGAGTTGGAGAAGAAAGAGGGAAAGGGGGGGGGGAGAGAGAAATACAGAGAAAGAAAGAAAGAAAGAAAGAAAGAAAGAAAGAGGGACAGAAGAGGGAGGGAGGAAGGAAAGGAAGGAGGGAAGATGGAGGGAGGGAAGGAGGAAAGGAAAGGAAGGAAGGGAAAGGAAGGATGGAAGAGGGAGGGAGGACAGAAGAGGAAGGGAGGAAGGAGGACAGAAGAGGGAGGGAGGAAGGACAGAAGAGAGAGGGAGGAAGGAAAAGAAGGATGGAAGAGGGAGGGAGGGAAGGAGGAAAGGGAAGTAAGGAAGGAAGGGAAAGGAAGGATGGAAGAGGGAGGGAGAAGAGGAAGGGAGGGAGGGACAGAAGAGAGAGGGAGGAAGGAAAGGAAGGATGGAAGAGGGAGGGAGAAGAGGAAGGGAGGGAGGGACAGAAGAGAGAGGGAGGAAGGAAAGGAAGGATGGAAGAGGGAGGGAGAAGAGGAAGGGAGGGAGGGACAGAAGAGAGAGGGA